ATAGATAGATAGATAGATGTGTTTGTGTGTGAGTGTGTGTGTTCTTTTTATAATAAGTAAAAAGAGGTATGGAGTTTTTTATGCATTAAAACTTTTCATACATATGAGATTTTTACAGAAATCTTTTCTTATATATATTTTTTTCTATAAATACATTACACATTTTTCAGAAAATTTTATGAGCCAGCTATGAAACGAACTACGAGTGGAAATGTGATTGGTCCAAATGACATACCTGTGGAGGTATGGAGATGTTGTCTTACTGACCAGATTGGTTGACACAATCTTGGAGAATGAGAGGATGCCTGAAGAAAGGAGGTGAAGTGCACTGATATGAATTTTCAAGCACAAGGGTGATGTGCAAACTGTAACTACAGAGGGATGCAAAAAAAAAGAGGAAGACCTCAGAGAAGATTCATGGGTTTAGCAAAGGAAGAAATGCAGAGGCATCCACAGGATTCACAAATAGTTTATTAATACTTTATTATTATTATTATTATTATTATTGTTGTTGTTGTTGTTTTTATCATCATTATTATTAGTTTAGTAATCAGTTTGTTGGGTAAATAAGATTGTGGGGGGTTTTAATAACAAAAACTCAAATAACATCAATAAAACAATATAAGCCATGGACTCATATCAACATCATTATGCTCGATGCAATGCTCAGGATTTTCTCCAAGTCTGTTGTGGCCAGAGTTATCCTCTACACTGTTGCATGCTGGGGCAGCAGGCTGAGGGCTGCTGATGCCAACAGACTCAATACACCGATCTGCAAGGCCAGCAATGTTGTGGGGATGGAGCTGGACTCTCTTAAGGTGGTGACGGAGGGGCAAATGTTGTCCAAGATAAAGACAATGTTGGATAATTCCTCCCACCCACTCCATGACATGCTGGCTAGCCACAGGAGCACGTTCAGTGAGAGACTGAGATTACCAAAAAGCCACTGAACAACACAGGAAATCATTCCTGCCTGTGGCCATCTCCCTGTACAACTCATCCACCTAACACACTGTATACTGCAATAGCTACACCCTTTTTGCACATGCTCTTCTTTCTTATTCAGATATTTAGTCGTAAGTGACTTATATGTATGTATATATTGTATATATTGTGCTATTTCTTACTTCTTGTTTTGTCTATTTTTGTTACTGTTTGTACTGGAGCACTGTAACCAACATAATTTTCCCTAGGGATCAATGAAGTATTCTGATTCTGATTAACAATTGCACAATATAGTGAAGTAAGATAGAAACAAGGTTAACATGTAGGTAAAGAAAATAAATAATAATAATAAAAATGATAAGAAATAACAACTGGAATTTGTTTTTAATCTCAAACGGCGCCGAGAGGGGTTGCAGGTGGCGCGCTTTGATTACCTGCGCATCATTTGACGTACACGTCATCGTCCAACTGGCCCAGTGCGCATGCGCTTTAAACTTTATTCGAGGAAGTGGTAGGACAGGCACTAGAAGCGATAGGGAAGAGTTTGTTGTTAACTCCACCTTCAGAGAAGACAAAAAGAACACCTCGCAACATTTTCAAAATGTCGGAATTTGATAGCAACCCGTTCGCAGATACTGCCAGCGAAAACCCTTTCAATGTAAGTACGAGGACTGAGATTATAAGGCGCAGTCGGTGACATATCAAACGGCGGCAGTTAAACGGTAGCCAGCACGCCAGGAAACTTGTTGGGTGGATGTCGGGGCGGGGACCTACGTCTTTGAGGATTGCAACCATTTGGCAGGAAGAGTGACTGACAGGTTTTTAACCAATCACGTGCCTTGTAAAACGGCTGGGTAACCTGTGAGTTTAGTTGCAGGAAGTTAAACTTGAAATGTGTGTCAAATATATTTTTTAAGCCACAGTACCTCTTTTCTGCTTCCATCGGAAGATAATGTACATTATTGTGTGTATTTCTAATGTCTTAGACGTGATTTGTGATAGTTCTGGTGGTTTGTAATGTGACGTTTATCGAAACTGCTGGTTTTCTCTCTACAAAGAGCTTCTAGCACACAGGATGTCTGGTAGTAGGCCAGTTGTTTGTGGAAATAGGAACGTCCTTCCTTCACTTTAAAATATTAAAATGGGCGAGCGCAAACTAAGGTCTTTCTTTATATGCACTGAAATAATATATAGTTATATGAACAGATTTATAGTAGGAAAGCCTACTGGGAATGTTCTTATCCTCATGTTCCCATACATTTTTCCCTGGATAAATGTTCAGAAATAGTGAGAGTAAGAGTGTTTAGTTGCTATGTCTTTATAGATTTTCTTTTGTTCCCTTGCACTAAAATTGGTTAATAACAGAAACAAGCCCAGAATTTTACATTTGGTCATTAATGTTTCTGTTGGCTTTTTCACAAAGACGTGTTGAAGCTTTGAGGGGTATACTGTGAAAGAAGTTAAACACAGCCAGGTTTCCTTAGTGTTAGCAGGCTTGACAAAACCTAAAACCCTAGTCTGAGGTAATTGGGATCACAGTAGTGGCTACTGCTCCGGACAAGGCTATGTGTGACACGTCTGAGAAAAGAAATGTGACCCATTAATTGTACTTTGTAGTACACTCAGGAGCTAGAATTATTTGCCATTCATAAAGGAAGTGGTTTGACCCCTGGCTGTTTCAGTCTGCATGGAAAAGTGTCCTTGGGCAATTTTACCTCCATTATTGCCTAGTCCTCATCTGAAATTGAAAATGAATTGAATGAAAATGAATTAATAGAAAGAAGTCATAGAAAAAGACAAGTAGAATAAAGTACAATGTGAATATGTGTGTGAAAAGGAAGACGTGGCTTTTAGTCTTTAAGTGCTTTGAGTACTCAGTAAGGGTAGACAACCCCTTTAAATGCACCAGTCTGTGATTTAATATTATGCCAGCCAAGAAAAAGGATGAAAATGAAATAAATGGCTGACACAGAGGCAGCAGCAGTTAGGGAGACTCTGACATTTATTAATCCCTAATGTAAGTTACTCTTTAAAAACCTAGTTTTTGTCACTGTGTCTCATACTCCTTTAACACAGTTTTTTAACACACAGAAGTTTCAAACCCAACAATGGAAGAGCACCAATTTAAAAATATTAACCATCATCTTTTGCTTGTTGTTTTTTATCCATATGTATGTGTATATATAAGAATGAATGATTTATTGTACATGTGTATGTACATGCACGGAAACAGTCCTTTTATGTCAGGTTTTCTCTTTCTCTTTCATGGAAACCTTTGAAGTCTGTCAGGAATTATCTCACACTCCATAAGTTTTCTTTTTTTTTCTCTAGGACATGAGCTAGATATGTTAGCCTAGTTTCTGCAGTAGTAAAGAACCTGTTTATGTTTTCCATCTTTCCTTCTTATTATGCAATATGAAATTCATAAAGTAAAAACAAAATTAAAGGCTGAACCTGTCATAACTCTCTTTATTTAACAGTTTTGAAATGAAGTGTAACATTTTAGTAACAGTGGCCATTCTTGAAAATGTAGAATTAGATAAAATGCAACATAAAAGGTAAATAGAAACCTAGCAGATTAATCACAATGGCTTGATCATGATATCAGATTTGAATAACCGCATAGATAAGTGGGTGTTTGCATCTGTTAACACACACGTGCTGTTGTTAGGGTTTTTCAATTCTACCAAATGTTAAGAAATCTATCTTATTGCAGAGAGAGCAACAGTTTACAGGAGCATTCAGAGTCCAAGGTTCAACCAGGCCTCACATTTAATGTGACATATTTAACAGTGAATTGCTCTTATCACACTCCAAATTAAAACCAATGACCTGTGGGTACTATTCTGTGTAAGATTTAAGTGGCATTATGCTGTTACAGTATTGCAGAATGGAACTTTTGTTATCTCAAGTGTTCAATAGGTGTGACGTCAGTGGAGACTTCTGTTTGTTTGGTGGGTGGACTGGATAAATACCCTAGTAGCAGCTGGAGTATAATATGTACTCTGAAAAGCAGTTCTATTCATAAAAGCTCGCTGTCTGTGGTCACATTAAATATTTAACATGTTACCAACCTTTGAAAGACTTAAAGAATATTAAAAATGTTAAAATGTGCATGTTTGTGGACTGCAGACTGCACTATGCTGCTTTTTTTCCCCTGTAGGCCTTTCTGAGCATGTACTTCTATCATTTGTAGCACTGTGTGGCTGTGGTATCTAAATTATTATTTTTGGGCCTTTGCGGGACAGACGCAGTAAAGATGTTTACAGGTGGGGATGTTTACAGGTGTGTCACTTTCCTATGGTTAGGAAAGCAGGTAGAGAAAGGGGAATACATGCAGCAAAGAGCCGCGGGTTGGAGACGAACCCTTGCCATACTGCTTTTGGTCACCTGTTCACCCAGTGAGCTAAACCGGCACCCCATGGCTGTGGTATCTAATGTAAAAAGTAGTAGTATCCAGCTGCTGTTTTGAAATGGCCACACCTAGGCAATCAGCAGTTATGAGAGCATGTCCGGTTTCCTTGTACACAGACGTTAAAGTCACGGTATTATTTTTATATTAAAATATGCCATGTTTACCTGTCATCTATATACAGTGCGCAGTTTTCCATATATCAGCATATATGGAAAACTGCATCTTTGTATGTCTGTCTATTGTTTTGAAGATGCTGTCCTCTTGTTTGAGGCTTGTCCCAGCTCGGTTTTCATTTCAGAGACTGTGTAAGTTTGCTGTCATCAGTTACTTTAT